TGGGAGCAGTGGGACTCAGTACCTTGGTCTGGTGGTCTGGTGTCCTCTGCATCTTTGTAGTGTGGAACCAGGTGGCTGCCTGTCTGCAGCGGGGTGATTTGGCATCTTCCGTGCGACTCAGGACCTCGGTAGGGTGTGCACAGACCTGCCTGTCTGCAGCGGGGTCCCCATGATCTATTTCAAAAAAGATAAATACAAGACACTAAAACATAGTAATAATAGCTGTAGGTTCTTTTCCAAAATTTTATAGTGGGATTGTATATGTAAGTATGTAAAATCACTCTTACCAGTACAAGAAGCCATTTATTTCAGACATTAAAACATAGAGTCAGCTATTATGTAAATCTGATCGGCCTCAGTCTGTTGAATCACTAGAGATTAAAATGTGTGGCCCAAATATGTTTCCAAAATCCAGAGATGTGAGATGACTATATTCAAGGCCTCATTTCTGCATATACAGGGCTTAGAGTTGGAATTGATTCTTCAGTAGCCAATACTGTTTTTCACTATTACTAGAAAAAGGCAGAGAACACACTAATTCATTCAAGGTATATCAAAGATTACTGTCAAGGACTTAAAAAATGTTTCAGTCCTGGCTCTGCCACTCTTGTAAACTTTTAGGTAAGTACTTGAGTGGACATCTGTAAATTTGTGTCTGTTCATCATCTTTCCCTCTCCTCCACACTAACATCAAATGGGCCTACTTCTCTTATCTCAGGGCCAGACATGTGCCTCTTGTAAGTTCACATCTCTAACTCAGCTAGTTGAATGTTTTGGCAAATGTTACATGGACAACGAGGTAGAATATTTGTCTTCGGCATTGTGAACACTAAAGGCCAGTGTGTCAGGCAGCTGACTTTTTATCCACAAGGAGCAAGCCTACTGACATCATCTCAGCCAATAAATTTAGCTGTACCCTTAAATCTTACCATTTATGTACTTGGATTCTTTTTTTTTTTTTGTACTGGGGATCAAACTCAGGGCCTTGTGCTTGTGAGGCAGGCACCAGAACCACTGAGCTAAATCCCCAGCCCTGTGTTCTTAGATTTTGTAATTATGAAAACTAATGACTCTTCCTCTTTCCCTTCATCTGATTTGAGATGAGTTTTATTATTACTTAACTTGTCTGGTTTTCAGTTTTCTGACCTATCAATTAAGGAGATTATCCTTGAACTCTGCCCACAGTGAGAGAAAACGAACATCTCTGGAATAGAAAGTAAAAGAACATACGGGGTAGTGTCACTGTAACTCACCCAAATACCACTGGACTAATGTGGAGCTACCAGCTGACCCTAACCTAGACGAACCCAATCCCAGCTAACCTGCCAACATGTGAGCAATAATAATTTTACAAGTAATAGTAAGTTAAATAATTAGATATTCAAGGCATTAAAACTTAATTAACTTTATACATGTTCACGTCTAACAATGAAACACTAATTGCTGCATATTTTCCCATCATATCTCCAGAAATTCAATTTTCTTGTTTGTTACTATCTCTGGTCTTATGCCTAACATTGTAACTGTTTTGTTTCTAAACTTCTTTAATTATATCTAGAAAATAACAAAAAGGTGCACTTATTATGCACTAATGGAATTTAAATAGGTCTAAGTATCAGTTTGAGCCCTTGAATTTTAGAACTGGAATATAACTGAGAAATAATCTAGTTCAAATTCCTCATTTTAGAGATGAGAATTCTAAGGTCCAGAGAGCTTTCCTGACCTATCAAAGATTGCTCAGCTGATTAAGGTCAGATGAGACAAAACCCCAAGCCTTTTAATTCCTACTTCATCACTCCTTCTACTACAACAAATCTCTCCTGTGTTTACCAAATTTGGCAGGACTCAAAGCTAATATTCCCTGCTGACCTCACTGTTTCTAATTTTTCTAAGTATATTTGGGGCTTTTGAAAGCTGTGAGCTTGAATATCAAAGTTTCTTCTTGTCCAAAAATTAAACAACAAATGGAAGGAGCCAGTAAGCTTGATGCCTTGTAATTAGGCTATTTTGTATTTTGTAAGTTTTCTATTCCATGAGAGAACAATGTCTCTGCCATTCAAAAAAGAAAAAGAAAAAAAAGAACAGATTTAAGTTGCTACTCCAACTCTGCCTTTTATGACAGCAATTTTTTAAAGGTTGAGCAGCGTTACCCCCACACCTGTTTCTTTTAAACTGAAAGGGACCCAGCTGCACTCTGTAGGGAAATCACAAAGACAACTGGAGATCTTGTCAATTTACAGCCAAGCCTGGCTGGAGAAAAGTGGATAGCTGATTTGGGAAGATAGGAAATAAGTACATTTACCTGAAGATGAGCATGGCCTAGCTGAAGAGACCAGAGATAATGAGGAAGGCTTCCTTTGGTTTGGTGGGGAAATCCATGATTCTGTAACATCAATCAAGACAGTTTTATCTGATTGCTAAGTTTCAAGAAAAGCTGTGAACATTTAAAATAGCTATACAGAAAGAAAAAAGGAGACAGAGGAGGGTACATTCTCTGTCATGTAAAGTTGAAGACTAAAGACATACAGGATGATATAGAATTAATACCAAATTTTAATGCTATCATACTGAAGTAGTGAAATTAGGTTAATTATACAAGAACAAAGGTTCTCCCTTAGATTTCCAGGCCTCACCTGCAAGGGATTATAACCTTAGTTCAATGCACATAGAAGAGGAAGAGTGCATTGGTATGAAAGGGCTGGAATAAGAAAATCAAATTCTTTAAAAATGAATTTCTAAAAGTCTCATTGAGACTTCTGTTTGTTCTTTTAGATGTTCAGTAAATGTAGATGAAGAAAGATAATTTTCAATGTATTTATTAGCTTGTAGCACTTTATCTCCTCGTTTACCTATATACTATATATGTAAGCACTGCATCCCTGTACAGTGGGCAGCACACAAATACACAGATATACATAAAATATTCACAAAACCCATGTTAACTTTCACAATCTGACTGTCTTGTGCACAGGTATTAATCTGCCTAATTAACCCATTATTAATGCCTATAGGGAACAATGCAATTTTAGAAGTTGTGAGAGAACATGGAAACAGAAAGCCAGTTAGGTTCATGGTACAAGTAGAAAGATGCTTGGAACAGAAGGGAAGTTCAGAGAGAAAGAAGTGGAATGTCTGAATCTCAGGTTATACAAGCACCAAAGAGACTCCTCCTCCTTCTCAATTAATTTCACTTAAAATATTTCTAAAATACAAATTAATGTGTAAAAGATACGCTGAAGTATTAATCACCTCTATATTTACAGTCCCTACTCTATGATTAAGAATATAAAACCTATACACCTAAACTATTAAAATACACAATGAATAGCAATGACAGATGACTGTCCTGGCTCGAAGGACTGTAAGTGGTTGGAGATTAATGATGTGATTTCAAGGAGGGCATGAAGAGTGGAGCTGGAATAAGGACTCAGTTAGAGATGAGTTTGGAGTCCAAGGTTCAAGGATGATGGGATGCAGGTAGCAAGGCGTGGGAAGGAACTCTCAGTGAGAGAAAAGAAATGAGTAAAATGTGAAGATGAGGAAATTCTGGACACATGTGCAAGGGCAATGAGGAGACCACCACTGGCACCAGAGAGCAAATTCTTGAAACAAATGTGTATGAGAAAGAGAAAGGAATGAAAGACAATTGTCTGGATAGAACATGGACAGCTTATTTTAAGGAAAATAAATCTGACTCATTTTAATGAGGCTGACTAGGTTCTAATTATCAAGGCAAGCTCTTTCCCTACAGAAGGATGTTCTAAAATGTGTCTGTAATCTAAGGAGTCCTCCAGTAGATGGTTACATTTAGACAACCACTGACCAACCACTGACTGTGTAGACACTGAGAGGACCCTAGGGTCAGCTTTGGAGTATAGTGGATACATAGTCCCCTGCAAACAATACCATTTTATTTAATACCTCTTAGCTGGAATGTCCTGTTTTACATATATCCTAGTGGCAACAGTTCATATTTCTAAACACTGAGAAAAAGCTTGCCTATACCTCTCAGAGTCATTTGGCACTGTCTTTACATTCCATTTTGGATCACCCAGGAGATCTCCCTGCTCTTTTTGTTCCTCTTTTTATTCTTGTCTATTTTATAATGTCACTAAAAAAGCAGTGAACCAATTTAAGATCCTCTCACAAATGATAAGGACTGGCCACTTTAGAAGGCCTAATTCTGTAAGCATTTCCTACAAAAGCCTTGCTCCCTCTCCCCAAATTTCATTCTCTTTTGAATCTTCCATGGACATAATATGCCCCTCAGCCTTTAACTTCCAGTTTTCTACCCACCTGCTTTCACATTCACAAAATGAACAAATAGGTTTTTACTTCTCTTCTACTCACTTCTTGTGGCCAATTTTTATGCAATTTATATAATTTTGAGGATTATGAGAATGTTCTAAATACTGAAGATTCTCTCAAATATGCAGTGCTGACCAGAAATTCTCACAGTGAATGCTTGGTGAAGAGATAGTGGCATCTTAAGCAAATAATCTGCTAAATTAATAAACCTCATAAATTACAAAATCCCTGAATACCAACTGCTGAAATACAATCACTCTCTGACCTGAACCTATTAAATGAAGAAGTCTGCTGTGCATAATTTACAACAGTGCTATGAATGAAAAATAGCTCCTTAAAAGGGAAATAAAATATAAAAATGGTCTTGCTGTAGAAAGAATTACTGGTTATTTCAGTTCTTATTTATTTTAATATTAGTTTATGGGTCATCTATTAACTTTTATCTTTATCATTGTTTCACTCTCAATTGCTCAATAATCTACAAATGAGACAATATTACATGTTGTAGGTCACATAATAAGAGTGATGTGAAAAAGGCAATATTTACCCTGTTTGTATTGTGCATATGCATAATATTTCCTTAAAGTATAATGTGTGGTTGAAAATTATGAAAAATAAATTGCAAAAAAAATACTGTACCTCACTTCACACATACTTTTCACATCATTCTTGCCACTTTCTGAAGCAGGTCTGGAAGTCCTCTTTCCTGACTCTTTAGTTACACTGTCCTGGCTGCCTTGATGTCCTGAGTGGATCAAAACACTTATCCTTTCATAATCACTTTGATTTTGGGGGAAAGACAGAAGTTACAAAGTGCAAATCTGGTGAATGAGGTGGATGAGGACACACCGTGATGTTTTTATTTGACAGAAATTCATAAACATTTTTAATTGATTCAAGACATTACTACAGCCTAGAAAAGACATTCATAAAAGAGAACTTCCAGAACTGCTTTAGAAAGTGGTAAAATGATGGGATAAGTGTGTTTGAAGCACAGAAGAGTATTTTGAAAGGAATCAGTCTTTCACAGTAGTAAGCTTTTTCATTTTTAATTTAAACATTCACTGTATATTTTGATCACACATCTTACATCTCTATCTGTTGGTTAAACTGCCAATGTAATTAGTTATCTTTTTAAAAAATCAAATTATATTAAAGGCATTAAATCAGTGGTAATCTAGGGTGGGGAAATTGGGAGATGTCATTCAATAGATATAGAGCTTAAAATATGGTAAATGAATAAGTTCTAGAGATCTGCTGTTCAACATAGTGCCTATAGCTGTACTTCAAAATCCTTTAAGAAGGTAAGTCTCAGGGCTGAGGATTTAGCTCAGTGGTTCTGGTGCCTGCCTTGCAAGCACAAGGTCCCGAGTTTGATCCCCAGCACCAAAAAAAAAAGAAGTAAATCTCAGTGTTTTTACTATGGGGGGCATGAGAAAATTTGAGAGGTGTGGGATGTGGTTATGGTAGCCTGTATATATCCAAACCCATCAATTTGGACACATTAAATATGTGTACATCTTTGTATATAAATTACACTTTAATAATACTGTTAAAAATAAAAATTATATTAATCAATCAGTAGTTCTTAAATGGAAGTAGTTTCTCTTTCCCCCTGCCCCCGAGAAACATTTGGCAATGCATGGAGATATTTTTGTCAAAACTAGGGCAAGAGGTGGTAGTGGTATCTAGAGGGTTGAAGACAGGAATACTGCCACACACTCCACAATGCATAACCATGAGTAAACAATTATTGAGCCACATTGGCAATAATGTTGCTGTTGAGAAAGTCTGGATTAAAATGAAAAAAAAAATCAATGCATGTTTTTAGGAATTTGGAAGGAAAAGGAGCTCCTACACACGATCTCTTGGCAAATTCCTTGTAGAATTTTTACTCCCAAACAAGCTAATCTGGGTCAGCCAAAATGAATTTAGAACTCACCTTTCTAAGCCCCCTCTGGAATTTTGAGTAAAAGATTTAGCAGCAGCCATTTGTTCAAAATGACACAAGGGACTTCAAAGATTTAATCCTTCTAGGGAGATATAACACAAATCATGAGTAAAAGCTGGGTAAAATGTTGGTTTCAGTGTATATCATATAAGAAACATTTTGGATTCAGATGGGCTGAATGAAATATAGAGAAGGAAAAATCTTATGTCTGGCTGTCATGCTATTAATGAAATCATACTTAAAATTCCAACCTGAATATTATATTATTTTAGTGAAACTTACTGGGATTGCATGACTAAAAGAAAAAGTGAAAAAGTGGCACTTAATCAGAGCAGTCATATATTTGTATTGCTAGGTCCAAGTATACAAATCATGAATTAAATATGCAGAAGTTTCTTCAATTTTTTTTATCACCTAGTCAGTTTAGGTTTGGAGGTTCACAAGAAAAATCTTAACATGAGCAAAATGTACACTGAATTCTCTATTTTTTTCAAACTCTTTAAGATTTTTATTTCTTTTGTAATTATTATGCACCAGGTCCTTTAGTGCTACATATTTATTTAAGATTTTTCTCATAGTTTCCATGCATCTCTATAGTTTGGGATAACAATATATATATAATGTTAAAATTATATTTCTTTGATTTACTATATCAAAGAAAGAGTATTTTAAAAATGAAAACTATTTTAAAAGGATCATCAGAGTGTGCTTTTAAGTGGACTTCACATTTGTAATGTTATCATTTTCAATGAGTCTTGAAATGAGTGCAGTCAGGTTCTACTGTATTTAGCTCAAACATGCTAACATGTTGGTTTCCAAACATTTTTATTTACAAAACAAATACAGATTTTCTTAAAAGCCTAGACTATAACATAGACATTGAAGCTGATGAAGGGGAATCAGCTCCAACAATAGAGCAAGGAATGGGTCCAAGAAGCTTCTCCCTGAACACTGAGGAGTATTGCACTGTAGGCCTAATGGACTGAGTTTGAGGCCTTTCTTTTCTGTCATTCAGAGATAGTAATCATGGACATATTCCCTATCTTTTAAGTCTCTGTTTTCTTACCTAGAAAGTGGAGATATTAATACCTACTTCATGGCTTTTTGTAACAATTAGATGAAGAAATTTATGTAAAGTAGTATTAATGATGTTCATTAATTTCCTCCCTCTTCATTTTCTGTTCATCTAATCTTGCCCTTATAATATGCTATTTTGTATGCTTAAGTGGCAACCAACCGTCTTATAAATTCATTGAGAAAAGAGAAGGTGCCTGAGACTTATTTACTCGACTTTTTGTACAGTGCTGTAAATATCAAAATACAGTAGATTCCCAATTACTAAAGCAGCCGGTGCTCAATGGCAATGGAATATAAAAGTACCACCAACATTTGTCTGTATTACTTAATGTTATTTCTGTTATAAAGTGTCCTGGTTTGTCTGTATCTTTGGCTTTCTGTAATAACCAGCAGTCATAATGCTTAGCTACATCAAAAGATCAAGGAAAGCTGGGTGTGGTAGCACATCCCTGTAATCCTAAAACTCTGGGAGGCTGAAGCAGGAGGATTGTAGATTCAATCCCAGCCTGGCGATTTAGCGATTCAGCTAGACTCTATCCCAAAATATAAAGAAATAAATAAGTAAATAAATTTTTTATAAGATCAAGAGAGGTTTCTCCTCTAATTAAAAAGTGTAATTTGCCTTGATGCTTGCATTACACCAGATAGTGGTTCTCAAAGTTAGAAATATAAAGTTTCAGATGCTATCCTGACCTCAAATATATGACATCTGGTTTCACAAGTCTGCCAGGTGATTCTGATATACTAAAAAATTAGAAAACATCACCCTAAAATGATGTCCTTCTTTATCCTTTCTAGTTAGCCAGGTTCTGAGCAGTATCAATGGTGTTCCGATAGTTTATCAAAGATGGATAACAGGATAACAATACTTACAATGTATCAATGTAGAGTTAGGTAATAAAAATAGGACAGAGTTCTCAAAGTGCAGTATGGTAATTCATAGGCTGTTAATATTTATTATGTTTAAAAAATAAAGGAATTCATTTAGGCAGATAAGTGTAGGATAACTATATTCAATAAGATTTCTACCCTGAGAAATTCATTTTTTTTTTTAAACTCAGAAACATTGTAAATTTTCACAATTTTTCCAAACTTATTTGAAACCACTTTTCTTTTCAAATAAAAATATATTTTTGCTGATACAAACTCCTCTCTTTATGTTTGAGATTTCTACAGCTGAATTTTTGATAACTTATTATTAAGTGTTTGATATTACATTATGATCACATGAACCTCTTCAAAATTATTAATCCATTGGTTCTCTCCTGGAAGAATTCTGTTCCCAGAGAATATTTGATAATGTCTGGAGGTATCTTTGCTTACCACAGTTGGGAGGGTTGTGTTTGCCAGTGGCAGTGAGTTGACACCAAAAAAGGTGTGAAGCATCCCATAGTAGACAGAAGAGATTCCACAAGGAATTCAACTGAAATGCAATGGTATTGAGGTTGAGAAAGCTTTTGTTAGAAATTCAAGTACATAACAAGCATCTGTATTCACACATTGACCTAGAATTGTCTTCTACATCCTCATAATTTTAATCTGACTATATTGCATAACACAAAAGACTCACTCCATAGGAGCATACTGAATGAATGAATTTATAGAATTAATGACTGGGGAAAACAGGGCTATCGTGACCGAAATAATGGAAAATCTTGCAAGCCAATGTAAAAAGCCACATTACTTAACTCAAGTGACGTCCACATTTATATAAACCTGGCATAGGAGGAAAGATTGTAAGTGTCCTTGAATGATCGTAGCAGAGAGCAGTCCAGCCAGGGATATGTGACAGTGCACAGAGGACAGGGAAGAGTCAGGTGTCATCATATATGTTGTAGGTCAGTTCCTCTCACATTTACTCATGTGACTCTACATGCAAGTCCTCTCTTCCTTCCATCCTGTCCCTGTCCTATCACAACTAGGTAGCAAGTGACAGAAATTATTAACTGGTGCCATAAAACGATAAGGTTTTGTTTACCACTGCAGGATTTGTTTGTCTGATTACTTTTAAGAGCTTTGTTTTCTTTTAAATTATTCTAATTTTTAGTGAATAATTCAAACAAAGCTCAAAGTTGCCCTTAGCACGGCCCCATCCTACTCTCTAATTTTTGAATCTTTTTTTAAAAACGGAATTTGAATGACTTTAGGGAAACTCTCCCAAGTCCACCAACTTTTCCTCCTACTGTATCACTCCAAGCCTTGCTGTAGTCTGTATGTCACTGACCTGGCCTCTGCATTCGTCATTTGAGCCCTGAACTTGGAGCCCTAAGACCATCCTTACCTGAATGATAAGGCTAACCAAGAAGCACACCGACCTTTACTTTGTTCTTCCCTAGGACTTACTCTTGCTGCATGGATTGCTGTGAGAAGTAAAGCAATTAGCATCAGTAAAGTTATCAGATAAGCCATGATTTCCTGGGTGGAAGATGCCCCAAACAGAAAGCATATATTTCACAGAAACATACAAAATCTTTCCCATGTCTGCTATTGATCTGTGAAAATAAAAGTTAGAATTTTATCATAAATAATAAGTTTCATTATTAGCACTAACATAAATGTGGAACACTTAGAAAGTGCCCAGACAAAAGCGGTACACAATTCTAGTTATCATAACTGATGGTTTAAATAATAGAAATACAAACAATTAACCCCTGTCTATTTTTATATAAAACAGTTTAAATTACTTTCCATGAGTCATATTCATCCTATAGCTTCAGGTATGTTTTGACACCTTGCAAAACATTAAACAAATGTGAGGTGGTATTATTACCAGTCTTTGAAGATCTAACTAGTAACTCCTTCATAAAACCTTTGACCACCTCAACTTTAAAGTCCCCCTTTGAATTCCAGTAATGGTTATTTCTCCCTAGCTTTTTTGTTGTTGTTGTTGTTATGTGTGTTCATGGCCTTGTATCACTTCTATTGTTGTCACACTGTTATTTATTGAATTGAGATTCTAGTCATTGATTGTTGTTGCGTTTATCTCATCGCTCCTAAACTGAATTATAGGCTCCCTTATATCAGAGGCCATGTTCTCTGCTATACTTTACAACATGCTACATACATAGTAGACACCCAGTAAGTGTCTTTGATTTCATTTGACAAGAATGTTAGATACTAGAAGTGCCACAAGAATGTATCTCTTAAAACTCCTCATCTCTAACCTTGTCCTTTCTGGAATGTAACCAGAGAATAGCTTTGAAGTGAGGTTGCAATGTATTTCTTTCTTACTTTTTCCTCAGAATGAAAGGCTTTGTTTTTCTACCCTAGCAAAGTAAGATGTTAGAATCTCTAATGCAAGTTCCAATATAAGCTGTTCTTTGTATTGAAGGTCATCTGCTTGAATCTACAACTATCTGTTGGCAATAATTATTGAAATAGGATATTTCTGATCTTTAAAAAGATAGCTCTGTGTTTAAAATTAATTTCCTTATTTGTCTATGGTTGCAACTTAAAACACTTTTCCTTATATGCTCTATAAAATGTTAATAGCTACATATAGAGTGACTTTACGACTATAGAGTCATTTTTCTCAGCTTTATCAGCTTTTTTGAATGGCATCATTATGATCAAAGTTGTTTACAGTAATAAAATATGAATAGTTTCGATAAAAAAGTAGGCACCATTACAATTAAACAGTATCTGGCATTTTAGAATGTGATAACCACTCATAATGCTACTGTAGGATAAGCAAGTTTACAATATAAACATAATCATAAGAATGACCTAAACAAGTCTTCGAAGCACAAAAAAGAAATATGAAAGGGAGAAAGACAGTGCTTCAGTGTTAGGGATATAGAATATTCAACACACCTGGATTCCTTTACAGAAATTGTGAGAATTTTTTTAATATTTTCTTTATACTGATACTCCTCAGATATTACTGCAAGGAGCAAGTAAAATTTAAAATTAAGACAACATGTCAAATGTCTCAATAAACTTAGGTCTTAATATTTTGTTTGATAAAGTGTAAAGCAAAAATTAGCATATTCATATTTGTAGGGTGTTTATTCAGTTATATTACTATGCTATTGGAAGACATAACAGCCAGGTTATATAAAATAACTCTATAAATCTTTGTATTGTGGATTCACACCTCTCCAAAAGCAATGAAGTTTTTTCTACCAGATACTGATTTTCAAGATTCTGTTCCTTTCATTTGTGTCCAGATTGACTTACCCTGGTCAAGACGTGCACTCACTATCACTAACATTAGAAGGGTGAAAGAGAAATTTGATAAAATTCTAGTCTATGTTGCTAGTGGTTTGAGTTTCTGAAACAAGATTTAGAGAAGGTAAGAGATGGTGGACTATTTCTTTTGGAGATAAAAAGGGCTGGTGTCAGGAATTTTATAAAGGCAGCCATCTTCCTAAAGTTTAAAGTACTGCTTTGAGAACTAGCACAGAAGCACTGAATACAGTGACTATGTTGACTCTTTACTGAAGAAGGGAAATAAGCAATGTTTGATATGATTCCTGATATATGTTAGGAATCATTGCACAAATAAATAAAAGGATTGTTAATAGTTTTATTTAAGCATGTTGTATGCATACCAATAATACTAAAATGTAACTCAAGATTTGTGATTCCTTTACTTACTCATTATTTTTGTGTGTGAATAATCAAAGTATTTTCTCATGTCAGAGTAGTTTTATTTCCCTAATGAACAAAGTCCAGGCTTCTTCGAAGCTCATTTAGGGCCTTCCACTGTCTGACCTTGACATACTTGAACAAATTAATGGGTCTTTGGCCCTGTACACTACTCTTCCAGTCTATTAATGGCTCCTCAAAACTTTCCTGAGTATTTTTGCCTTCATGAAATCTTTTTTTTTTTTTTGGTACTGGGGATTGAACTCGGGACCTTCCACTTGTGAGGCAGGTGGCAGAACCACTGAGCTAAATCCCTGGCCCCATGAAATCTTAAATATATGTACAAGCACACACTCACACATACATACACCTTTCCACTGCCCAACTCCAGCTTCTCTACACATTAAAACTGAATCTTATTTAAGGGGCTGTTAGATACCACTCATCTCTTCTATGACCAGCTTCTCGGATGCATCTTCTTTTGTTGAGTTTTTTCAGTTGTCTGTATAATCTATTCAGAACTTACATGAGGTTATTTTAGATTTCTGGTTAGCTACTTTTGATTTCTTTCACATCATATATCCTTAAAAATATTTAGTAGGAATTCTTACTATTTATCAGATACTTTTGATTGTAAGACAGAGTTTGCCAAATAAAGAAGCAATGACCTATGTACTTAATCTATACACTTAGAAAAAATTTCTAACAAATCTGGCTTGTCTACTTTCCTTCAGAGTTCAAAGTATTATTTTGTCCCAAATTCTCTGCAAGGGATATCTAAGTAAAATAAAACAAAATTTAAAACAAAACAAAGAAAGTTCCAACCACTGAAATATCACAATGACAGCTGAAATTCTAAAAAATAATCTTCACTTTTGTAGGCAGAAAAAGGTAAGAGCCAATTGAGACAAGTCTTGTCTCAACAATAGCAACTATCCAAAGGACATTTCTGTTTCTTTCCATCCTAGGGACATTATTATGTATGCTTATAAGCTAAAAAAAAAGTGATTTATAGAGAAGAAAAATAGAGTAACAGTACACATCACATTACCAAGCTCAACACTCTTTTAGTAAAAGTAGAAACTGAGTTAGTAGTTAAAAGTTTAGCAGACCAGACAGTGCATTCATTTAAGAAGAAACACTTGGATCAAGAAATGGTTGGTCAGTTCAGGGATCATCTTTGTTCTGATGTAAGTGAGGCGAGTTTGATCACAGTGTATTTTTTTTGTCACTTTTATTTAAAGCAGTGGTATGATAGAGAAGAAAGTTGAAGAGGTCAGTGTTGCACACATTGATTATGAAACTCCTGTAAGTCACTAGAAAGAGAAAAGGATATCCTCCCAGAAGGCGAACACGTGTACACGCAGTTACACCACACGTGCTTTGCTGGTCAGCTCCTGGCAGAGTGCTTAATGCAGCACAGGAGTCAAGTACCAAATTTAGATCTGGGCCATCATTGCCACAGTGTGTATGATTTGCCCCAGAAATATCACTTGTAGAAACCTATCTTGCAGAAGTATTTTCACAAACACAAAGAAAAACTTAACCGTTATCATACAAAGTGTCCTGTTCTTTGAGGTTTTTAATCCTAGTAGAAGTACATCTTGCATTCCTCTTAATACCTCTGGGAACTCTCAGAGAAGAAAGCACATTTCATAGTTTTTCCCTGGTTCCAAGCTCCTGCTTCCACAGAATTCTGCTGCATGCAGACCGTCCTGTTGTTCATCATTGCACATGGGAGCATGGTCCTTTCTTTCCGGGGTTACTAGGAAACCGTCATTCCCTCAAGATATTTATCCACATAGCCAGTCTCACCAAAAAGTTTGGAGTAAAAGGATTTTACAGCACCATGCTGCTCAGCCTCTGCTTTCTAAAGACAGTCTGCTTCTCTGCACTCCAACTTGCAACCCACAGTAAGACCATGTTCTTCTCACAATCCTGACATCTATGTCCCATTCCCTTTTAGAAGAATTAACTTCCACCTGAGAGCAAGTGTTACCCTGTTCTCTACAAGGCAGTCAGTCTATGAGGTAAGGTATTCTCTACCAGCATATTTGCTCCAAAATGAGTTAACCAATGTACAAAACACATATTGTTATATAAAATATGTATATTATTGTCTTTGTTAGCTACATAAAGGCCCACACTAAAATGAAACTGCCTCTTCTAAGTGCTTGACTGAGGTTTTAGACAATCTGCAAATTTACCAATAGAGGAACAGCTAAATATACCACGGTAGGGGTTAGAGTGTGACTCAGTGAGAGAACACTTGCCTAGCATGCACAAGGCCCTGGGTTCAATTCCTTACACCACACACACATACACACAAAACTGTTAAAAGGAACACAGTCTCTATGAACAAAAAATAAAATTTATTATTGTGAAGTAAAATATTTTAAGATTAACAAAAAATTACATAGCATGCAGGGTATTGTGCCATTTTGAGCAAAAACTACATATATTTGTATATTCATAGAAGAGAATATAAATAAACATGTCTCTCTGGAGGAAGGATAAAATTTTACTATTTGTATTATTTTATTATTTTATTTTTATTTTTTTGGTTACCAGGGATCAAAATTGAGTCCTTGTGCCTGCAGGGAAGGCGGCAGAACCACTGAGCTAAATCCCTGGGCCTATTTGTATTATTTTAATTATCATAGTGAATATTTTTGAAATTTTATGGTACAAAGATGAGAGAATTTCAGAAACTTTCTTTCAAACTTTGGGAAAATCATAATTCCTTTATTACTGGCTTGTTTGTAAATGAAAAACAATGGGATAATCCTGTTTTTTAAGAAAAAAATTTCCTATCTGTATTTGATATTTTATTGT